ACCAACTATCAAGAGACAATCGTGATTGACTGTGTCTTCTTATTTGACAAGGGCTCTGCTGTCCAACAATCGGCAGACACGCAGCGCGGAAGCAGAGCCTGATTCTGGTGTGGGTTTTGGGTGGTTTACATATTCCGCAACAAGCAAAAGAAATAGAAGTAAGTACATGTGAAGTGCAGAAATACCGTAAGTAGCAGTGGGTTCTAGACTCAGGAGAAAGCTTGTGGAGATATGATACTGTAGATGATGAACAGTTGGCAAGGAGGCAGGGGTGCATGACGGGAGGGAGGGGGCCTATATAATCTATATATATATATATTTATTTATTTATTATATTTATATTTATACACACATCTATATATATATATACATACACATATGCATAAGCATGTAGATACGACATATGTATAGATGTAGACATAGAGGCATACGCAGGTTTATAGGCACAGATACAGATTTGGATATTGATATAGACAGAGATATAGATGCAGGCCAACCCCCCTTGGAGGCCCAAGTCAGAAGTTGATATGTTTTTTGGACATCCCGAGTTATGTTCCCATCATCAAGACCGTCATCATGCTCTGTCTCAGCTTCGTTAGCTCCATATCAGGACCGTCATCACTGTCTGTAGCTAGATCCGTCCAAGGAGCACACATGTCCCATGGTTGCACCCAATACTTGCAGTAAAGCCTTAACTGCCGCTGAATGTGGCGTTCACCGTTTTGATTTGCATGCTCTACATGCGTGCACATACCGTACGATGGCTGCAAATGCAAAAAGATGTTCAGTTTGATGAAAGCTATTCTTGTTACTTGACGAGCTGTGGCATCCTTTTTAGACACGCACCAATTAATTCGACAATGCAATGTTGAATTAACCAACATTGCTTAGCCGTCTGTATTGACATAGTACATAGTTAGCTTATGCTTTCAGAGTTATGGGTTAGTGTATAGCGAGTACTTCTTCAGATACCCACCTGATACCTCGTTGACACTTAGTGTTAGTATTCATGTAGTTTTCATTATTTCTGATGATCACTGAAACAGAACGAAACTCTTTTAATTGGAGGCTACTTGCTACACACCTTTAGGGCTTGCAGAAAGGTTTCATTATTATATAAGCCCGCAGCCGTTTGATACAAGCAGCTTGCTCAAAAGTAGTCAATTACACGCGATAGCTGAAACAACTAGTATGTAGCTTCTGCTCAACTAACTTGTTCTTCATATATATTTATATGTGATGTACAGACAGTACTTAAGTTAATGTCTTGCATAAGATGGCTGTTCTTTCCGTGATACTTAACCCAATGTCTAGTTAGTGGCTATAGCAACTACACTTTCCGTGATATTCAACTCAAAGTCTAATTGTCAGCATTTCGCTCATATCGAAGCACAGTTCAAACACGCCGTGTTGGAGCTATGTATATAGCATGTCCATGTCATGATTTCGTCGTGTATCTACATGTTGTGCGCAGGTATGTCTGCAACGAAAATGTCGAAAAAACTTCAGTTAGGGCTTAGCTTTTACGTCTTGCATGCTTGCGTATCTCGCTAGTATGACTTCAGTGGTCCATTGCCATGTTCATCCGTATTGAATCATTTATGAAACGATCAAATTCGCGCTGAAATAGTTTGTGTATTGTCGTGGAACATTTACAATATGAATTTACATTAAGTTAACAGTTTGTCCACGATGCTACATAAACTTCGGCATCTTAAGCATTGGCTGGGACGTTGGTCCAACACCAACAATCAAATCTTTGACAATACTAATGTCGCGAATCACTACTAGTGATAAACGAATGTTGACGATGATTGTCTAGATACTGTGGGGGTTTGTCAGTTGCGCTTGCTGGTTTCAACTCAAGCTCATGAAACATTCAACAAGTCAGGAATGCGACATTGAAAGGCATATGCACCGTAAATACGTTCATTCAATGAATTCAATGTTGGATAGTAGTTGACAAAAATTGACTGGAGGCTCCAATTCCCTAGAGTCTTGTGTAGGAAGACTTGCAAACAGTCCACATAGACATACTAGATATGCAATATCGTCGCAACAGTACAGGCAGATTCCGATTCGAAAGCATCGCCTATCTTGTAAGTCAAACACAAAATATCAGGGTTGGAAATATGTTGGATGTGTTGTGGACGTCTTGGCATTCTCGTTTTTGGAAATGTGCATAATTAGCACAATGCACCTGGCCAAACACACACATACATATATATATATATATACTTTTATGTATGTAGAATGTAGTAATGTATGTATGTATGTATGTATGTATGTATGTACGTATGTATGTATGTATGTATGTATGTATGTATTGTATGTCTGCACGTATGTGTGTATATATACATATACACATGGACGGGGTCGCTTATTGATGATGTGCCCTAGGGCGTGTGCAAAACTCCTTTAAACCTCTTTTGAGCTCGTGTGTCTAAAAGGTGCTCAGCGATTGTCATGCAAAAAACTTCGTTTGCGCGAGGCGACTTGGGCTTCACTGCGGCTTCACGTGCTTAGAAGTGATGTAAGGGATAATATTGAGGAATGGGAAACGATTCGACGCGATCACGAGGCCACGGGTCAAACAATGCATAAAGGGTTCTCTTGCATATGTCTATTACATGTGTATATATTTATGTATATGTATGTATGTGTCTATATTATATATATATGTCTCTCTCTCTCTCTCTCTCTGTCTCTCTCTCTCTTGGCGCAAGCCAGGGCGAGATTACTTTGGAGTTTGTGGAGTTTCACTGTCGGAGCCTATCCCTGCACCCAGGATGCCGATGCATCGCGGTAGTGTCTGGCAAGCTTCCATACGGAGGGTACCATGTATGTATAGACATATATATATATATACACACACACGGTAACAGTGAGTATGCTGCCGAGCTTTGGAGCCTTCAAATTCCAGAACCAGGCCGCAAGAGTGAGAGCGGCTCCTTGCGCGATGGCTTCGAGTCCGTTGGGCACACGCCGCTGAGGGAAGAGGTGGGTTTTACCTTTTGGGGATTTTGGATGTAGGGCTGAGTGCTAGCTCCACGTTTCTCAGCACTGGGAAGAACAAGATTTGGAAGACAGGCCATGGCTTTGAGAGGGCTTTTTTGGACGGTGCAGCTAAACTCCTGAAGCCAAGATCAACCTGCAGCTTAGCACAATAACTACTTCTTAAACTCAAAACATGAATCCTAACCGTTATGTGGCCCTGCAACCCTGCACGTAATTAAAACAAGCAGTGAAGACGACAAATCTAAGCCTAAACACCTTGAAAACGAAAAGGACTTGAACGCTGCAAGCCCAAAGTTGTAAACAGGCAGGGCTTCAACCTGAAATTCCATTACGTTCCATCGTTCCATGAAGCCTCATAGCCTCATCCCCAGCCTGATCCTTAGTCCCTAAAGCCGATCCTTGAAAGATGAAAAGGTCCAGGCTCTTACCGATCAGATGGATTTTGAGCGAGACCTCCACGACCGCCGGCGCGCCCTGCACAGGGCCCAAGACTGGCTGTGTTTCGGTTTAGGATCTCGAAAGGCTTCAAGCTTCAGGAACTCAAAGATGGGTCACCCGCTTTCCCTACGGTCTTAGATAGAAGATCTGACCCTGCTTTGTGGATTAAGCCCTTTTTGCGTTTTCCCCGGTAGCGCCCTGACCGCCCTGACCCGTCCGAAAACGCTGGCGTTGCCTCTTCCTTGGCATTTGAAGGGAGATGCTGGGTGAGCCACGCGGGAAGGGAACCTCAAGAGGTTTGGGATCTTGTTTCTCTGAGACGCCATGTCTTGCTAGAGCTTCTAGCATGTATATGTCATGATATGTCTACTTCTGCCTGTCGCCGAGTCCAAGAGTTCCGACAGGTTATTGTTTCATGTTTCTTCGTGCCGCGAAGTGACTTCTAATTATCGGCAACGTCATGGACCTAAAGTTATCCTTTCACAGGGCTTACTTCGACAGGTACTTTAGCCGCCTGGTCAACGAACTAATTACTTCCGTTACTTTCGTGATTCAGGGTTACAGACTACAGCTGATAGTTGGAACGATACTAAACCCGAAACCCTAAATAGACTCAGTGATGGAATGCAGCATTTGGGTCACCGCAAGCTGTTTTTCGCCTTGGGAGCGAAGTTCACGAGTCTTGAGCGGATTTGGGTTGCAGGTTCTTAGTAAGCTGTCAAGTTACTATCTATAAGAGTGCAGGTCGAAGGTTTTCGGTTGGTACTTCAGGGTTTTAGGGCCGTTTCGGTCTGTGGTGAGCCGACCTCACACCCGGTCTGCAGTTGCCGCATCGCTTCGAAGTCTTCCCTGGGCTGATGTCTTGATTATATAGCTCATGGAATAGAGCAGCATGAGCAGCGGTGGTTTGACACGACGCAGACTTTGCTGTGCCGATGCTAGTGCAGCGACAATGAAGGAGATCAGTACAACCATATCCACGGCTGTCGTGGTGAAGCCTTGTCATGTCTGCTGTCAAGCCGAAGTTCAACCTGAGGTTGGAGCGCTACAGCTCCCCAGAGAAGGTTGCCGCCACGTCGGTCGCCGAGGCGAAGCTACGAAGAAAGGAATTGGGTTCCTGAAACCCTACATTTCCCCTTTTACAGGAGTTGGTTGCGTTGCTTCTTTTGGCGCGGTGGGCTTAGTCGTTCGGCCCTCTCCAAATTTTGCCACGCTTGGGTTGGATAGTCCTGGTCTTGCGCTGCGCGAGACACTGCCCCGATGCCGGAGGATTCGAGAGCCATGTAGGATCCGTGACGACGACAACAGATCATCCAACCGGAGATTTCCGGGGCGAAATGCTTTGTGTACCTTTCATAATTAGCATGCTGTGTGAATGAATTGCGAAGAGGTTATGTGGTGATGGTGTCTTCATGTGCCTTCAGGGCTTAGAGAGTTTGCCTAATTGCTATTGCTTGAATACATGCTGGCAAGACCCCTGAAGCAAACAGTTGTTGTGATCAGTTCGAGCAAACGTGCTGCATCTGTGGTACAGCTGCCGCAAGGATGGGCGTGCGATCATCGTCGAGATGGCTGCGAGGCAGCAGCGTTCGAAAAGGTCTTAGTTCTGTGCGCTCGCGGGGGTTTGGCCTGGACCTCTGGATGCCATCCCGGAAATGTAGCCCCAAACCTACACTCCTGACCTCCAAACCCAAAAGCCCCAGAGTCCCCAGTTACCTTGCCTAAACAAGTGCAGGAAAACTTCTATCACGGGTACCTTGCTAAATTTCGGACTGGCAGGGCTGAAGGCCCAGCGCAGTCTCCTCGCAGTGTTGCATCCGAAGATGAGGAAGCCGGGTGTTTGGGGCTTGGGATTCAGGGGTTCACAGAACTTCTGTCCATAGGGTTTGGAGAAATATCGGTCGATCCCGCAGAATGCTTGCATCGCGATGTCCCTGTGGCACGACTCACATCAGGTGCTGAACTGAAAGTAACCCCATAACTCCCCTACATACACGTTGAATCTGTCTGATTAAATCTCCCGTAGAGCAACCCGAGGCATGCTGAAAGCCCCAATATGATCTCTGCCTTCTCGCATGTTTCGTGGCTGTCGATTTAGGAACCTTCCACTTGGAATCCCAGCTTGCTTGACATGCGAGGAAGAGGGTCGTGCCAGGGACGTAAAGATTCTCGTTTGTGCTTAACGTTCCCCAAAGATACCTGTTCGTATTAGATGGGCCTTTCCAAAGAGCGGGGGCGATCATTCCAGCACCGACAAATAACCCCATCTCCTTGCCAGAGTCCGTACACAGCGCCTGCGCCCGAGAGCCCCAACCCCACAGGCTTGCAAACCCTCAACAGCGCTCTTAGCTGTGTCCTGCATGGCCTTGGTGCTTACATGCAGGGATCCAAGAGGCACAACGCCGGCCAAAATTAATCTTTTGGGAGCAGTCGAACGGAATTTTCATAATTTTTGAGTACTTGTATCCGGTAGTCGCAGGGGCATATTTGATGAAAAGCATATCATCATTAGTACGACCTAAAAACTCCTGTGGTTGCGGTTGTAGCTGATCCTTAAGCAGGCCCTCAACTTGGATGACTGGCTCGTCTTGTCAAACACTGGCCAACAGTAAGGACCTGGCCTGAAGGAAACCCGAGAAATCCAGAGATTCTCAAACCAAGCCAGCGGACACGAGCCCTTCTCCTCTATCTCAGATCAGGACTACAACTGGGAAGGCTACTTGGAGCGCCCGACCGACGGCGGCGACTTCGAAAAGGCATGTCCCTTCATACCAGGTCTGCCGGATCCAAGGGGTCAGCTTAACATTAAGGTGCAGGGTTAAGAAGGTACGGGTTGACGGTGCTTGGATTGGCGGCTCGGGTTGAGGGGCCAACATGCTTCAATGATTCAACCCCCTCAGTCTCACGATCCCGAACCGAATCCTTAATCACTCCATCCAAAGCCCAGCATCCCTCTGTCTTTCGAGGCCTGGAGGGTCCTTGACTCGGCGGGACTTAGGATCTAGGAAGCCCCATTTTATGTCATGGCAACAGGACCAGATCATCGCTACCATCATCACCACCATCGGTCGCAGCTTCGATCCTTGTGCCACCCCTTGACAGGTCTTTGTCGAGATTCGTTCAGGGAAGCAGCGGACTCAGCGAGTGTCGAGGGGACGGCTAGATGAATAGAAGGGCCTCGACAAATTACTCAACGGCCTTGTGCTTTTCATGGGGCCTTCCGTTGCTGCGAGTCTTTGCTTGTCTTCAAACTCTGAGCTAAACTCTAGGACTCTTGGATCTCGTGCTGTAGACCTTCAGGTTTTTGGAATGCACGCCATCATCAGTGTTTTCCAAACCGTCAACCGTAACTACGAACTCTTTCTTTCGAATTGTACAGTGGCCCCACACCCAAGGCTCCGTGTCCTTCGCAGCCGAACCTCGCAGAGCTTGCTGAATGAGTGCGGAGCTAAGAGACCTTGGACGCCAGTTTCCTGGTTCTCGTAAACTCAAACACCCACCACATCTCCCGTCACCAGTCCGAGGTATTCGCTCAGCGCCCTTGCCGAGCCGGCCACCCTCCTCAAAAGCTGCCCGAGATCCTTTCAGGCGCGCGCGAAGCAGCCGCGTTGCATTGTATCGGGCTGGATACGTCGCTAGAAGGTTACAAATGGTAAATAACTGCGATATATTACTGGAGTTTTGTCCAGGTTGGGTTCGAGTGTTGCAGACTTGAGACATGTAATTACATGCCGACAAACTCATGTTGCAGCCATCTGGGCCAAGGGTTTCCTGAGCATGAGAGAAAGACTCCGGCGATCGAAAGGTGCTTTGCTGTCCCCAACCTAGCTGCTCCACTGCCGGGCTTGTCCCCGGATTCCACCTCGGCACAGGCATCCCCGATGCAGGTACCGAAAGCTCGCCCCAGAAAGATCTAACCCGCCCCGGTTTCCGGGTACCTCTCCGAGCTGCTTTCTAGATCCGGCCCCGGGGGTTCGCCTGGGAGCCCTTGCCAGCCTTGTCTTCGCTTTCCTCTCCCAGGCCTTTCGGCCAGCATAGCCTGCA